ACTGTGTATTCCTAGTATGAATGTTCAATATTATTTCTTCAATTACAGCATTTATTATTGTAAAAGCGATTGTGTCTATCTATACATATCCTTGTTATCTCGCTGTATCAAAAAGGAGCTTTCGAATACATAATCAAACTTATCACTAGCTATTCTATCTACATATCTAGTCTATATCATATTATACTAGTATATTTCCTCTTAATCATATCTTATTTATCCTAGAATACCTTTTAACTTTTGGCAATACTTATAAAGACCCTTATGTAAAAAGAAATAGTATCCATCCACTATACGATACGACACGTTATTTTTCTGTAAATTATAGACAACATCTTAATAGACTTAGAACCGCTATCAATTTTAAATGAATAGGTAGGTACTAGTCAACTCATTGCTTATACTATATATATTCAAATGTAGGATAGCAAAATAAAGATAATTATAAATGTATGAATGTACGTGAATGTAAATTACGTAGTAATGCCATTGCATGTGTTCAATATTGTAACATTGATAAATTGTATGCTGACAAAGGTAAATGTTTTCGATCTGTATTAAATGTTACAAGTAGATCCAGCAGGTCATGCTACACTAATCTGTTTTAATCGTTATCAACTTCATATGTATTTATATAAAGTTTAAAATCCATTGAACAACCTTCAGCAACGTTAGTAGCTTGATGTACTTTACTCTTCTCTACTTATCTAAATACAACTTAATAGTTCGGTTTGTAACTGCTATAGTCTGATGCCTTAGACTACTTACACTTATTTATAATATTTTATTACCATCTTTCTCATCGACCTGGCTTCGCCTGCCCATCGAAGTCAAGTGCTAACCAAACACTGCCGTAGCATCCTTTGCTGGAGGAACTATTTAGGCCCTGTCCGTGGGATTTTTTATACCATGTCAATGAGCAAGTCACATAAAATAAGGATAGCTCACATTTGTTTTTTTTATAAGGAAAATTATCAAATGCTTTTCTCGGCTAGGTTATGGCGAGAGGGAGTGTCAGACTCTTACTGACCCGTTCCTTTCCCCGCTCCAGGCTAAGGCCGCGGTACCTAATCACAACCCTGACTAAATATTGGCTGCTTTTTAGTGATAAACAAACAGCGCCATCGACACTTTTAGATAATGTTCCTGGTGGTATTTCTTACTACTTACTATATTTCTGCAGTAAAGTTTTTACATGCAAGGCAATGTCATGTAGGATGCACTAATGGGAAATACACCTGCCTACATTTGTTTCACATAAGAAGCTGTGGTATTTGGTAGGACTGCATAGTGCGTTTGTAGAAAACAAGAACAAGAGAAAGAATAAGTGTTAAAATTCATATTTTGTACGCATAATCATAAAAAATATACCTATCTAGGTATATAAAGTATGTAAGTTAGCCAATATTAATGCAGTTAAGTGTGTACATTAGGATAAGTTCATAAGTTAGATAGAGATACAATGTAAGAAGTTATTGGAAACAAATGCCAAAATAATCTTAGACATCGTAGATTCTATCTTCTGGGTACAGAACTAATAGGTATTGAGTTTTACTATGAAGTAACGTAGACTTCGCAAACTCGTTTTACTAACTCCAAACGTGAAGGACTACGGAGACAAGCCATCGGAAAAGTGGGTCTTACGTCGTAAATGAGATGATCAACCATTTCCTTTACTGGCAATGAACCAAAAATGTAGGCGAATAATTGTCCAGTAAAAGCTACTGGACAATATTTACAAACAACAACTTTATACGTAGGTACATATGTAGTATTACACATTTTTTACATATATTGATATCAAAGCATTCACCGCTACGCCGCAAATCCCGTTAAATGATTCCTATAGATTTTCCGCATTTTCTAACTTAGTAGATGCAGTTTTTTCTAATCACAACCGTATATTCAGGCAGACTAGGTTGATTTTCATCCAACAATATCAAATAATTTAAAAAATGGCGTCAATTCCTTTGCACACCTATTTAAATTAATACATCTTTGATCTCTTTTACTAACAGTACTTAAAAGAAAGAGACGGCATTGGTTTAGCCTCCGTCAAGTTGACGTTTTGAAAAAAGTTTATAGCGTAGGTATGCTTTTTTTATTCTCTTGAGTACTGGTAGTAAATGAAACGTCAGTGATTTTTCTGGTGTACAAAGGAATCGGTAAGTAATTATAAGTCATGTATGTATAGACGTAATTATTAATTAATTGTAAGCTTTGTATGTTGTATTAATGATTGAATATGAAAGCAAATAGTGAGGTCAAAATGTTAGAATAGAAATATATTAATGTACGATTATGTTTGTATTGAAAATGTATTCCTAGAGTTAGATTTGTCTCAATTTTATATTTTATTTTTTTATATTCCTTTTTCATACATTTGGCGGGTAATTTGATAAAAACCAGCTGTACTCTTTGATCTGAACATCTGACACTTGGCCACACAGTCACCTGAATATTCAACTGAAAAAAATTGTCATCCAAAATGATACAACGTCGTGTGATCTTGTCGTTACGACTCTTGGCCAAAGGCATTAAACATGTGTAGATGGGTTGACTTTGGAATGTACCAACTACTTAGTATTTATCGAAACATATTTATCTATTGTTATATTTTTTCATTTCATAAAAATGTATCACAATATTATGTATAATAATAATAAAGGTCGTCATATCGTTGGCCGAGGTGCGAACTTAAGTACCTTAAATTATATTAAAAATAAAAAATATTAAAATACTGCCATTTAGTTAGAGTGGAGATTCACATAATAAAATTATTATTAGGGTAAGTTTTAAGAATATATTACATAGGTAGCCATGAACAACTGCAAGTTTAGGTTAGACTTCCTCACAATAACGACTGCGAAAATTATTTATCACTTGTCAGGTAGCTAATCAATCAAATAAGGGCTGATTTTTCAATACTTACACCCGATTTCCGAAAGGCCGATCAATGTTATAATCAATTTAATCTCTTGTCAAGTCATCTGATTGGTTGACTGAATTATCAACAACCAATCAGATGACTTGACAAGAGATATAACAGGAGATTAGTTAATTTTAGCGTTGACAAGCCTTTCAGAAACCGGGTGTTAGTCATTTAAATGTTATCTGAGGAATTAAGTTGTTGCTGTCACTGTCATATATCTACAAACATTCTGACGTGACATCATCATAATAAAATTATTCCCTAGGTAACTTTTATCTAACCGTTGAATTATATTGAAATTTGTGGTTTGTTCTTTAGATACGTCGGCAGTCCCGACAAAAATAACAACAAAATTCTGTCGCTAACAAATAATTTTCTGTATTTTTAAGAATTTAAACCTTTGACTTGTTGTATAAAGTTTGAATTCTAACAAAAGCACTAACTTGGTGAAATAAATCAAAGTCTCCGTATTACCATAAAAATCTATGGTAATATACGAAGAGTTTCAGACCGGAATATAAAAATGCTTCAATAGAAACCTTGTCCTAATTTTAAAAGGTTTAACAGTTAGGTACCTACTCATTAATGTTACCTAATTGTAATAAAATTATTAACTTCGGTACCTAACACTACCGCGTATCTATTTAAGGGTACCTAATATACATATACATATAAATCTAGATATTAAGTGTCTAGATACTTATGTAACTAAACTATGCTATAGGTAAATGTCGCTCTTTCTTAAATAATTTGCAATACAATTCCAAAAAATTAGTCGTATTAACTATAAGTTTACTTTTTTTGTAATTCCTATCCAGAATCTTAATAATTACTACTTAGGTAAATCAAGCAGCATTTTTTTGTGATCTTTTTTATCTGTAGCGTTTTTTTGTGATCTTTTTTATCTGTAGCGTTTTTTTGTGATCTTTTTTATCTATGTCTGATACTCTTATTTACTTTTTAGTTAATATCTTCCTACATTTTTCGACTTCTAATAAAAAGCTATCATTAGATGTTGCTTTTATAGTATAGTATAAATTTATACCTATATATATAACAAGTAATGCCAGGCATTACCTACGTTAAGTAGATTTGTGTAGACGTGTATTTGGATGTCACGCTCTAAAGCTTTGTTATAAAAATGTAATACATTATTTTTTGTGCTAATTTGTCTTTGATTTAAGCTCTGTACGCTACCTATCTCCCTATGCCTACTCATTGTCAGTACAATATTGTCATTATTTTATTAAGCCTTATTATCAGTGACTAATTCTGTAACTAAGTACTGTAACAGTAGTTATTCGAAAAATAAATTGGGTGCCATGAAAGCGCCATCTTTTGGTTTACGTAAACACAAACGCGAATATACGATAATACCGCCATCTTTTGAAATTAATTTTGAAATATTTTGCGACTACCAGACATACCAAGGTAACTAGTTCTCCATTATATAAGAAAGATGGCGCTGTCACCAATGCGGTCCTCCAGTGTTGCTATAATTATTGAATGCCTACTCCAATTATTACGGGTAAAAACAAATATATAGTAAATTATATTTTTAACGATTTTCATCTAATAATTAATAATTTAAGGGTTTTTATATAAAAAAAAATTTATTACTGCTTAATATTTTATCAATTTCGTTATAAATTTCATAGTCATCTCAAAGTTAAAAAGTGTGTTTATTCCAACAAAACCATTAATAATAGGCACTTTGACACGTCAAAATAGAACTGTATTCTGCCAGTCTATTCGTCAGCGAAGCTAGGTGCTCTAAAGGTTAGCAGATGAATAATTAAATATCAACAAAATTTTATTCTGTTACCTTTGACTCTAGAATTATAAGTAGATTTTTTCTTCCACACCTGTCTATGAATGTAATAAGTTATTTGTACATAATTTGACATACGAATTATTGAAACATAATATAAAATAATAATGATCATAATGCATTCGTAATTGTATTTATCAAAATTAAATTTAACTAAAAAATAATATGGTAAATTTTAAAACACGTATGGCAACATCGCTGGCTCCACTCATTCACTTCATTCGGCCAATGGAAGCAGGTGTGGATACTCGTGTTGCGCGGCATCTGTTATGGCGGGCTTTCGTCAATATGAAGTTTGTGCAAACTTTTAAAACTTAAAAACATGAACTAAAACTTACTTATAATTATTAGAGCATAGCAAAAACTGCACGGTACTGTTAAAAACCACAAATAAGTGAAAGTTCACTGGTCAGGATGTCGGTTAATTCAAAGTGGCGGTTACCTGACGTTTTTTGTGTTGGTGTGTTGAATGGATGTCGGAATTACGTTTAATTCGTGGCGCGGGGATGGGTGAATAAGTGGTTCAAGGTGTTTTGGGACTACTATCGAGATGCCTTTCGTGCAGCGTGCAGTGGAACCTAAGTTTTTATCGCGTACGAGCTTACGAGACAACGATGGCCAGCCCAGGGTTGCGGACGAAGAGCTTCAAGCGGTGACCAATTGCACCCTCAGCAATGCACTTAGACAGCTCGCATCCTTGGTGCTGCTGGCGGAAGATATCTTCAGCGAGTTGACCGTGCAACTTCAAGATATAACCGAGCGATCTAAAGTAGCGCAGACGAAGATCATCAAAATAAACGAGCTAGTTGAACAGTATGATCCGAAGAAAGTACCAGTCCGTGAGTACTTACAATCTTAATATATGTCATGGTTATGCTTAGTTAATATAAAAATCTTGAATCTTGTCTCGGATACGAGGCCCGTCAATGCTTAGATATCCCGAAGTCACAACCTAATTGCTAATTAATATGCAACGGACAACGATACCTACTTTCTAGGTGACTATTCAAAGCACTGAAAGTATAATCAGACTCTAATTAACACTAAAAGGTTAAAGCCTTCACGCTCTGTTCTCCTGACTAATGGATAATCAGGCCAGCGATGTTTTAAAATTTCTCTAATTTCTACTTTTTATTAATTACTCAGCTTTAGCCTATCTATCGGATTATTTTTCGCTAAAGGTTGTTGTTTACAAAATTTACGTAAGTAAATCGGTTGGTTTTTGATAACCTTTCTAGTTCACTCGTTCTATTGAATGAAACAGTGGACGTCCTTATTGAATAAATAATATAAATAATAATCAACATCTTAGTTCGTCTAGTCAAAATGTATGTCAATAATTCATAGATAGAATCCAAGTACCACTTTAATTAATATTAGGTACATACATAGTTAAAATCTATAAGTTAATAATTAAGTAATAACTAATAAATCAGGTAACATAAGCCACTGTATTAATCTGTGCTTTATGGACTCAAGTTATTATACTACATTGTGCTATTAACGATTATACTTAAATGCAAAGGTTAAATTACAGTATTTAATCTAGTTCTGCTATTGCATTGCAATCAATGTAAAGTAAATGCACGCAAATAGGTACTGCCGTACTAAGGAGATAGGTGCCTATTTATCTACAAAGATTAGCAGTCAATTAAAAACATCAAGGAGGTAGGTTATCTATTACATATCTAGTGAACCTCTGGTGGAGCACTATTTATGAGCATGCTTATTTTATGCTAACTTCCTTCTCTGTAATATCTTAAAGTATGCACCTACATTCATATTATTCTAGGCTACATAAGTGCCTTCTGTCCCATTAGGAACAATCAAATGGCAATACTTGTCATGGGTATGTGAGCTCCATGTTTTCACCGCATATGCGTTTGTAAATTAAGCTTATTGAAAGGACCGTTCCGAAACCTCATTACCTTCTCCTTCAATATGCCGCCTTTACAAAAACGTACCACGTTGATGCATTACACTGGACGCTATCTAAAAACCTGTTTGAGCGTTCGAACGGACCCGCGATGGGAAAAAAACTTCCAGATTCCAATGCGAACCATAAAAACGTCTCGAGATAATTTTCAACCCATCCAATGCTTGCTCGCCGCTTGATGATTCTGACCGCTCAAGTATTTAACACTTGAAAGATGGAATTCCTTGTTATTTTATTTATAAACATCGGCTAACATTCATGATATACAAACTCCTATTCCTCCGATCGACTGGGGAGATTAAACCGACCTTTAATTACTAACGCCAATGGAACCATACCGAAAATAGGTATCTATGTGCCCTTTATCAAGATTTCTGTTACATTGATTAATATTCTAACAGATAACACAAATTGTTAAATTCAATACAAAGCAAATCGTAACTTTTATACGTCGGTAAATGGGGACATTAATACTGTGTAACCACGACTTTGTCAAAGAAAGACAACGGCGACACGAAAATCTCTTTAAATGCATTTGTTACGGAAAACAAAGCAAGATAAACAAGAAAGAAAGGCAAACAAAAATAGCCTTTGACTTAGTCGGTATTGTAGTAGGGTAAACACTGCAATTCATTGAACAACCTTTCACCTGGACGATAAGCGCTAAGTGTTGTTTGAGTGTCATCTCGTGGAGGTTTGCCCCTTTACGGGTCTCATTTATTTGTACTGTAAAGAACCCCTTTAACTCGGACGTAGCCCGTATTCGGCTCACACACTGATATAAAAAGTCCATTTGGCAGTCTCGTTCGCTCGATACTGCAGTGTCTGCACGTTTACTTCGTTTATAGTTTGGTCCAGCCAGTACGCAATATGGTTGAATTGTTCATTATTTGGATAACTATGTGATAGAATACTAAATTGTCTCAAATGTTACAAGACAGTATTATTACGATAACTAGTATTCCATTAACTGGTGGCAGAAATATGCGATCGTCTCGCTTTTTTCTAATGTTGTCACTATAAATGATAGATTAATTCTGATAAACCGATTTAGAACTCTCATTAAATTTAAAAGCTACAATAGTTAAGAAAATAACTATTTACAAAAGCAACATTTAATTTCTTGTACCTCGTGTTATTCTCGCTAGTTATTACAGTAATACTGAGTACATATTGTAAGTTGGTACAGTTACACGACGTGTTTCATAATTTATTAGTCGCACAACCTGGCCGGTTGCACAGATGCTATCGGTGTAACATGTAAAGAGAAGGGTGTAATCACAATTACAGCATAAACTTTCTATGTTTCGAAGATGACTAATGTGTTATTACGAAGTAATTTTCATAACTTACGTAAATTATAAACATCCTTGTTCCCAAAATGTCTCTATCAACTGCTATACACTAGTGATGTTTACGTGTCATTGGCCGGGCATTGAGTTGGTACAATATGTATTGCTATGCACTTTTAGATTTGCTGGTTCTGCGGTTCTAAATTCAGCTGGAATTGCTACTATCGAGAATAGTGACCGCAGACAATGCTTCCTAATTGGACCCTATCTCTAAGTGCACAGCGACAACAATATTCAGTAAACGCAACACAAATGAAATGGCTATTACAATTGATACATCTATGAATTGTACATTTACGTTAGTTACGTCAGGTACACAATGGTCACTGTAAGTTGTAACCAGACGTTTATACAATTGTTACGGAGTTCGTTGACCGATAAAGTTCTTATCAGTTTTCTTTGTAACTAGGAAACGGAGTCGTGTCGCAAGAATTAATTAGGCAGTGGCAAAATTACTAAGATAAGCTGTGCAATATAACATTTACGTATTAGGTATAAAATACTACCAACTAGTACTAGTAGTACTAAAAACGTTAGATAAATAAATAGTTACATGCTGAAATTTTAAACAATCGTATGTTAAGATAGTTTTACTGCTTCAGTAGAAGTTAGTTTTAGAAATGCAAAGCAAGCAAAGATCATCATGATTCCCCTTCGACATTCAGCTATACAAAGTCTATTTTGCATTTGCAAGCGATCAAATGTCATAGTGTCTGGAAAACAAAGAGAGCTGCGCCACTCCGGCGTTGGTTTTTCCCATGCTTGATTTATCTACTGCGTGAGGAACATCCATTCAACTGTATGGATGCCGATGCTAGCTAAACGATCCCTGTTACGCAATACCAAGCCTTATTCATATCATATAGGAGCCAGTTTACTGGCAACCATATCCTGTGAACAGTCAAGTGAATAACCAAATTGATTTGTTTTACTTAAAACTATTTCAAGGTGGCCTCGACTTGTTTCAAGTCGTTTACTCTTATTACTGATGGTATTCTAACGATGTCGAATTTGAAAGCATTTTTATCGATATACGCACATTCTTTTCAACTGTATTTTAACCGTAAACTGACTTTTATCGTGTCTGACAGCGTCTACATAAATTACTAATCTTTTATATTGAATAAGAGGAAATTATAGACAATGTTTCCGTTGCCCGCATCTTAGATAAGGAGCTATTCCTCTAGTTAAACGATCAGATGGACTTATGCGTTCCGTCCACTGCATCTGATCACAAATAAATCTTATTAGATCCAGAGGGCAATTTGTTCTTAAGTGCTTCAAGTTCCAGCTGATAATTGCATTAAGGATGTTAACCAAGTTCAAACAGTTGGAGAACTAAAGAATTAATCGTACTGACTACCTAACGAATAAATCAACCAAAAAGATTAGTTTCCTTATCCTTGGTTGTCCATAACTTTAGTTTTTTTTTAGGTACCATAATAAGCCTCCTTATTAATAAAGATTGTTGTCGAAAATTAGTTTAACTTATATTATTTTAGCACTTCCGTATATACGTTACCGTTATATGAATAAATGAAAAAAGAAAGTAGATACCTAATTAAAATCAAAGGTTGGAATATACAAATTGAACACGATATTTCCCTATGCAGCAGTGTTTATCTAGCTTTCTATACCGGACACGATCTAATCTCTAAATAACCATAGTCGATAACCAGACTGAATATTAGAGATAAGTCGTGAGATTGCTACCCGCACATTTGAAACTGAGTTAATATAAATTCTGGCTCCAATTAATCTTGTATGAGCCCAGACTTCCCAACTCTTCTCACGTCATCCACCAGGCCTAAACAAAATGGATTCATCAATGTCAAGCGGGCATTATTACTCATGACAGTGAAAGTTGATCAATTTCGGTGTCCCAGATTCTCCTAGATAGCAAAGTCTAACTAAAAGTCTATTATGTTAGTATATTAATTCGTTTTGGAAATGACGTTTAATCAGTCTGGACGGCTACGTTTATCGGAGCTGTCTATCACAATATAGTCTGATATCGTATGGGGGTCCTACGTGCTTAACAAGACATCGTAAACAGGCAGGCCAAACAGACGCGCACACATCCTCAACTAGAGTACCTATCAGGAATCTTGAAGGAACTATGACATCATCCTGGATAATATTTTGAGAGACTTCTTTAGTGATCTTTGTTTAGGTTTATCTACTCGTAAGTTAATAACGTTGTTATGAGCTACAGGAATAGGCTTAGTGCATCATAAAATTAGGTCTCAACAATGTCTTAAAACTGGAAAAAATCACATAAAAAAATCAAATCACCATTTTTAGATGAGTTCTTGAATGCTGTATTGCATCATATTGAAAAGCATGCAACTTGGTCTGGTAATATACGAAAAAATTAGTGCAATTGTAAACGTAATGAATAATATTTCGATGCAATACCTAGTCACCTATAGATCTAATGCCACAGGCTTCGGTGTCACCTTTCGTCCCCGATAGTGCCTTTCCTCGGTGTTGTTTTGCAGGCTATTGAATGACTGCAGTCAGTCCGTATTAAGCAAGTCTACGTCGCGTA